CCACCCTCCAGTCGCCCTTCTTTTAAAGGGGAGCCTCCACCCAATACAGCTTCGCTGTCCATGACTTGCATGCCATGTTGAAGAGGTGTGTCAGCCACAGCAGCCTATTTCCCTTCGTAGTCGATCGGTCTAGTCTGGTTCTGCTGGAGGTTTCTTCCTGTTCAAAGGGAGTTTTTCCTCTCCACTGTCGCTACAAGCATGCTTAGTGTGAGGGATTGCAGAAAAGTCAATGAGTCGATGCAATCAGCTGGTTTTCCTTAGATAGAAAACTTTGAATCAATTTGATGACGTGTTGTGAATGGGCGCTATAGAAATAAACTGAATAGAATTGAATCTCTCTCCATGTTCCTTCCAAACTCCTCTCAGCCCAGTTTTTAACATTTTTTTTATTGCCTGTGTGACAGTCGGACAACTTAACGCTTGGCCTCACGGTACCAGGCTCACTAGGATTAGGATAGCATTGCCTACTGCTGGTGTCCACCACCGCATTTCACTGCTGGCATCTGTGTGTGTTTGTACTTTTTCCAAACATATTTGTTTTTTTTTTTTTCCTCTCCTAGACAAGAGCTAAAGCAATACCTCCCATCACAAGGCATGCCCAACATAAACCCTGAAGAAATCCTGTCAATCTTCCATAATGCGTTAGCCGCCATGGTGTCTCTCAATCAACCAGATGCCAAAATCCGATTTATTGGTGAGTAGAAGCTGTTATTTCCATGAGGATAACAATGATGCTATTTGTATGAATGCCATAACTGTGCTAATCTTGTATCCCAGAGACTCTTGGCGCCCTCCCTTTGTTTGGCTCCAATGTTTTCCTGGCCAAGAAGGTTAGTCAGCGAGGCTGTCCTTCCCCCTGCTTAGTCAGCCTCAACAAGGAGGGAGTGCATTTCATTCATCCTACAACTCAGGTAATTTTTCTTCTTTAAAATCATGGCTTAAGCCTTTCTCATGATATGTTAGCAGTTTTAGAGTAAGTTTCTGTTGTTGCTGTGTGAATTTGTGCTTTTGCTTTATATCACATTCCCTCCATCCATTTAGTTGTGTGGAATTTAAAAGCAGTATTAAATGTATTTTCTCAGGTAAATCAGTCTTAAAGGGCAACTCACCCTGAAAACAACCTTCTTTTGCAGATAAAATGTATAAAGGTTTATTCATAGCTAACGTTCCTTAGTACCAGCAAGTCGCTGGATAAAAAGGCTCATCGTCGCATTTGCTAGTTGTCGGTTTCACCTTAATGTGGCGGACCTGGATTTTGCGGATTGAGTGGAAGATCCTTCACAGATCCTCCCGGTTCAAGGAGTCTAGGAGCTACAGCTGCATCACAGCCACTAAATTAAAACAGTTTTAAAAACAATCTATACCCTTTAAAATGTTGCTCTTGTGTGACAGTTTAGACCCAATTTTTTCTTTTTCAGATTTTTTTCTCCTCTTTTTTTCCCCCGTTTCTCTTTTTGATGCTAATGTCCCGTTAATCTGCATTTAAGGCAATGAAGTAAAAAAAAAATAATTATATATATATATATATATCTCTACAAATGTCTCAGAAGTATTTTTCCCTTCTTTTGTCAACATCATTTTCTCTGTCCTGTATTTTGATTGAAGAAGCTTCTCCTTGCTGTGCGCCTTCTTCTGACGCCACAGCCACGCCTAGACCCTGATTAGTTTTCACAAGTAAAAAAGAAGCTAAAGTTCTGATTTTTCAACACCTGTGGTTTTTGCTCTGTATTCTCTCTTCGCTATAATCGCCATAAATCAGCTTTTTTCGTCACCTAGCCTCGTCGTGCTGAACTCCTGAGCTGCATGGGGATAACATTTTCATCGATCACTCCAGGCGTGAAAACCGTGTGTTAACCCAACATTATACTGCTTTTTTCTTGTCTCAGGCATTATTTTGATCATTACCTACACATTTTTTAAATCGTGCTTTTGTGCCTAAAACCGCTCGTTTGGCTCCCCCCTCAGGTGAAAATAAGGTACTGCATCTTAGTGTTGCTGCGCCTTAACCACGGATGTGATGTAATTTAGGAGGACTGATGTCCACAGCTCTACCCTGGCAGTGCTGCCTTAAACTGGGACATGTAGACAGCTCTGTACGACATCTGTGGTGTTACTGGATGGTAGTTAATACAGGGCAGCAAACTTCTAGTGTTTGCTCTTTGACATTAGATGCTATTACCAACCTGAACTGTCCACATCCGTCTCACCAAGGTGGTAACTGAGCGCTGAAATTGGAGCATTAAATAGCAGCTGCATACCGGCCTAAATCTTTACTGGTACGCGTTACTGGACTGTTCCAACTTACTTACAGCCCTGGGTAAAAATGGAGCTCAATTGAAGAAGCCAATTGCTTACCTTTATCCACCTGCGACACAGCCAATCAGCTTTGAAGCACACCTCCATGAAAGCCAATCGGCATCCAAAGTTCATCTTAAAAGGCCTCCGATCCGCACGGTCTGCTCCTGTGCGCAGGTTGTGGATGCGCTGTCTGACTTCATTCAGATGACACCATATCAGTCCCCCTCCAGCCCCTCCTCCACCATCGTAGCTAAAGCTTCATCAGAGTTTAACTCCTCCTGGACTCTTACTACGTTCCCTCTCTCATTTCAACCAGTCTGACAGAAGACCGCCATGTTGAGCCTGGTTCTCCCAGAGGTTTCTTCTCAACGGCGAGTTTTTCCTCTCAACTGTCGCTTCATGCTTGCTCATCATGGACAGGTTCTCTCAACCTGTGTTATCCAACTGGACTTCCATCTTCCAGATCCCTGAGTGAAGCTCTAGTATCAGCTCATGCAGTCCACTGGATCTCCTCATAAATCTCAGCACACCGTCTCTCTAACCAGCAGTCTACAGACTGACCAACTTCCTCTATCTCCACTCCACCACCAGTTTTAGGCCTGGGGGGGGAAACAGCCCTATTCTTTGCTCCTGTTCATGAAAATCTATCAAAACGAAGTGCTATGTTTCCTGCCGAGGTCTGAGCGCCAAAGACAAAGTAATTGTATCAATAAATTTATCCTAATTGCCTTTTCTCTTGGTGTGAGTTTTCCAGATTGAACTATATTACTTGTCACATGTTAAATACACAGGCACTTATTTTACTTACTGTGGAACTAAAGCTCTTTCTAAAATAATATGCAATGCCCCTTTATTCTACTATTTTAAAGTGTTTCTCTAATAAAAAATTTAGTTTCATAAATAAATCTTGGTTTTCGTGTCATGATGGTTTTGGTGTCTGTCTGTAGGAGCGAGTTTTTCTGATCGCTCTGGGAGAAGTTCAGTCCATGCGCACCATCCGTGCTAAGAGGACAGGGAAGCTTCCCTCCGTGGAGATTCAGTACGGCCTCGCTGGACAGCAGAAGGTTCTGATTCATCTCAAGCAGGTAAAAGCTTGTTTCTGGTTTAATGTTGTTGGTTTGTTCTTTTTGTTGGATAACTTTATGCTTTACAGTGATGCAGTGATCGATTTATGTTTTTCAACCCATGTATGGAGGCCTTAGTCCTCGACGCGGGTGACCCGGGTTCGAATCTGACCTGTGGACCCTATACTTCTCCTCTCTCAAACCCCCTTTCCTGTCAGCCTACTGTCCAAAAAAACAGCCACTAGGGCTCTAAAAAAATAGGAACAACTCTTTTAGTAAGAGTTGACGTTAAAGTAGGTCACTTCTTTTATCTCCTCATTAAGCGTTTTTCCTTGTTTAATACACCTTTAATCTCATAATGTTAAGATTTTATGTTTTATGTTTGTTTCGTAATTTTAGGACTTTGGTCTCAATGTTACAACTTTATTCTTGTTACTTTGATTTCTTAATGTTACGATTTAATTCTCACTCATCTAATATCACGACTTAATTCTTTTAATCTGGTTTTATTTTTTGTGAGTTAAAAACTGCAGATCTCTTCAAATGGCGCTAATAGTGCGTCGTAATTTTGACATCCAGTTTTTTACCCAAATACTATTAGAGTTAAAGCCAACAGCTTTTTAGAAAAACAGTAAAAGTGATCTACAGATGAATTCATGAGGTCTAAAAAATGCATATTGGTTTAGTATTGTTGATAAATGTCAGTGAAAGCAGCGTTCTTTGAATTGCATTTTTGTTCTGTTTCAGGCTAAAGAATTGTGCCACATCCTTGCGATGGCAGTGGAAGAGCAGATGATGCAACAATGAGTCACCGGTTCCCGTTCAGATCGCCTGTAGATGCCACGCTCACATTACTGCTGGTTTTTTCTTGATCCCATTTGGTCGTTTGTTTAAATCACTTTATAATGTGTCTAATGTTTTTAAACAGAAAAATAAATTATTTGCTGATCTTCTCGCTTCTAATGATCCAATCAAAGAGAAAACTACAGACGTAACTCTTCAAATTATTGCTTCATGAATCAAAACCTGATGTCGTTCATTATTTAAAGTCTTTATCACACTGTCAGAATGTTATGACGGGTTAATAATGATTGAAGTCGATTCGGGTTCGCCTGTCAGTTACTGTAAGTAAATAAGTTATAAACATTAAAGAAACGTGATAATTAATTTCTGTTGTACTCACTTTGTTCCATTTATGGGGATCCAATAGGAGGTCTATGTCAGGGTTTGGTTATGGTTTGTTGACCTGAAAGCAGAGGCAGGAAGCCAGAGGTGAGATTTCTTGGTGATTTAATGAAAGTGAACTGAAAGCAGAGGCAGGTTATCCAAAATATGAAAACAAAGTTCAAATAAATGGGAAACCGGGAATCCAAAAATCCAAAATGAAAACAAAGTCAAAACGTACCAAAAAACATGGAGACATCAGGGGAATCACTGTAACGAGGAGGAAGGCTCAGGGAGACGAGTTGGAGGAAGATAGACGAGGACCCGGCAAAGAGGAACTGAAGAGAGCATTTATAGAAGACAGAATCTAAGAGAGGGCTAATGAGCAGATTGGGAACAGGTGAGCAGAGAGCAGAACACAAAGGGAGCTAGGGAAAAAGGAGACCACAAGAGGGCAGCAAATAAAAACCTGGAAGACTGGAAATTAAACCACTAAGACTATAAAAACATGGAGCAAAGTAAAACTAAACGCTCAAAAGAAAACAACAGAACCAAGACTGAGACAGTAACTAAGAAAAAAACCCAAAGAACACAACAAAATAAGAATTAAACCATAAAAAACTCTAAAACAAAGAGCAAAGCAAAACTGAACATCCAAAAGAAAAAACCCAACAGTCTGATTTATCATTACATTTAACCCAGATGGATTAAAACCTAATTTCTTAATGCAAACATTTTGTATTTGCTTAAATGTGACTCCTAGAAGTACTTCTTTTTTCTAGAGTAGCAGTGTGGAGGTGTTTATGCCTGATATGATGTAGTTTCATGTTGAAGACTCTGCTCTAGTGTCTGATTTGGTATAAACTGCAAACTGTTCAAAGCTTCACTTTTGGTCGCCTTTAACTATTAGATAACTTTATTATTTGTTATATCAAATTAATTTGATAAAAGGAAAATGTTTAAAGAGCAATGCTGCTAACCAGATTACTGGACTAAGAATAACAAATAGTTCAACTCTGACCGACTTTGTTCTTTAATTCAGTTCAATTCAGTTTATTCCTATAGCGCCAATTCACATCACGTCATCTCAAGACATTTTACAGTTCATCAAAGCATCCAGTCAGATTGATTCAAAGTTTTCTATCTAAGGAAAACCAGCTGATTGCATCAAATCATTGACTCTTCAGCAATCCCTCACAATAAGCATACTTGTAGCGACAGTGGAGAGGAAATTCTCCCTTTTAACAGGAAGGAACCTCCAGCAGAACTAGGCTCAGTGTGAGCGGCCATCTGCTGAGGCCGACTGGGGTTCAAGGAGACAGAAGCAGACTTAGAAAATGTCTGGTCTGGTCTACAGACACCATCCTGCAGGACAATTGTGTGGCCTTGCAGTTGAAACAGACTGAGTGAAAACTTTTATTGTGAGTAAATTGCATAAATTAATATATGAAATAAGAGAAATCTAAATTTTCAGACAACAGTGGTCATATCCTAGCAGCAGGTTTCAGCACAGTGCGGTGCCAGGCAGGTGGCTGCTGTAAACAAAGCGGCAGGTGTATCTCAGGCCATTGATTCCAAAGGGAAAAAAGGAAGATAGCTGATGAGAAAAGAGGATTCAAAGAAGAATGGAGCGAATAATTTGCTTTTATTACCAATCAGGAAGGATTGCCTGCATGTTTGCTTTGGAATGAGAGGTTGTCAAATAATAAAAAGAGTTATTAGGAAAGGCATTTCCAGGGAAGGCTAAATCTGCAGCCCACCATCAAGCTGGGAATGAAAGAAAAAGTGTGATTGCAGAACTTTTGGATAAATTAGAGGAGAGCAAAGATAAATTTAAGAAATAGATTGCATCTCCAAACTACACTACTACTGCTGGTTTGGTTGCAAACATAGAAAACCGTTCATAGATCAAACAGGTAGCGCTCTGATGCAGGGATGGGAACTTTCTTCTATTTTTGGCCCCAAATCCTCAGAATAAACTTAACACCAAGGAACACTGGTGACGGAGGATGAGGGATTTCAGGGTTAGAGAGCTCTGCTCTGATGGATGTCAGTTCCTGCTTGGTTCCTCATGACTCCATCAGCTCCTCCCAACAGAAACACGTCCACCATAGAAAGATTCCTTTATCCTATTTCCACCAATGCAACAAAACCTAAACCGTGCAGTCAAGTGCGGTGAAGCAGAGCTTGGTGAACTTATATTAGACTTTTACATTTTTGCGGCTTCAGACAGATTAGTTTTGTGTTTTTTTTGTCCTATGTGGCTATTTGAGCAGTTTGGGTTGCCGACCCCTGCTATAGATAATAATACATTTTTACTTTTTTCATCTAGTAGTGGAATAATAATTAACACAAATCAAATAAACATTTTGCCAAATAAAACAAAAAACTCACACTCAGAGCCTACGGTACTTCACACATGGCTCTGCAAAGAGAAGGCTGCTGCAGACGGACAGATAATATTACATTACATAATTACATATCCTTTGAAATTTTTACCAGAATCGTTTAGATATATTCAGAAAGGAAAAGGAAAAGTAGTGAGGATGCCTTCCAACACACTAAGCTCATAGCAGCATAACTAACACGGTTCCTTCAAATAAACATTTATGTGAACGAAATGAACTGATTCACTATCATTAACTCATTCATTACTTTAGCTTGCTAAAGGTAATGGTGGTAGTTAGGATCACCAAGCTAACCCATTACACACTACTAAATGCTGCTGAGGGGGGATTTTTCAAGTGGCAGTCACTCAAACTGGTAAATTATAAATCATCAGTCACATAAGTGAGTGAACCCAAAACCCAGGTTTTCTTTCAGTTTAAATATTTTCCCTTATTTGTGTCACGGTTTGGTTGGAGGATTTTGTGAGGACCCAAATGCAGAGGCTGAGAGGCAGAGGTGAGTTCTTTGATGATTTAATGGGATAACACAGGTAGCAAAAACAGGAATCCAAAAATCCAACATAAAAATAAAACACTAACCAGAACCATGGAGACATCAGGGGAAAACTATCACAAGGTGCCAGGGTGAGATAAAGTAAGACGAGGAACGAGCACTGAGGGACTGCACAGGGAGTGTATTTATGGCTGACTGAACAAAGGCAGGACTAACGAGCTGATAAGGAGCAGGTGTGATTAGAGCTGAAGAGGAAGCCAAGGGAAAAGAAAACACGAGAGGGCAACAGAGGACAGACAAAGAAAAGCCTAAGAAACTTAAATAAATCCAGAACACACCAATAAAGCTAGAAAACAAGAAAAAAAGGCGAAACTGAAAATGTAGAGAAAATCAACAGAACCAAGATCGTTACAATTTGAATATCAATACATTTCAACACATTGGAACAATAAAGGATGGTGCCTCTCTTACGAAACCAAAGAACATTTGTGTTACATGAGTGAAGCTTTAGTTTTCAAATCAGATCCTGAATAACCCAAAAAAATTCTAAGTAAAGCTAAAGAGTAAGGTTATTATCGTTACCTAAAAGAAATGAAAAGAGAACTAGAATTTTTTTAAAAAGTGTTAACTGAAAGAAAGATAAAAGCTGGACCTTGCAAAAATAACATAGCTTAAACTGCATTTTGAGTTTACAAAACTAAAATCAAACTGAATGATACATTTTAAAAGGGAATGTATTTAGTTTTCATTTTTTTTTTTTATAATGTATTAATGTGAGGCAGAGGCCATTCTAGGATCAGAGGTTTAGAACATTTAAAAAAAACACCTGATTGCCGTTATTCCATCAACATTTTAATTTAGGAGCTGTTTTTTTTTATTTATTTGTGAACCTTATACACTGGCTTCGGGACACATATGACTTTACAAAATGTTTATAAAGTGAATTTTGCATAGTATAGAATCTTTATGTAGAGAAATAAAATACAATTTGTATGACTCTAATGTAACAAACCTAAATTAAAAGCCTAAATTCAAAACAGTAAACCCTTAAAAAACGACTCCAGAGATGTAACTAATAAATGACCGTAGTTATTTTACACCTCCGGTGTTCCGTAGACCGACTGATGCATTGTCCACTCTGGGTGGAACTGGCCGCTTGATTGTTAAAGAAATTGAATCTGTTCATCAGATGGTGTTTTTCTGCCACTCTTCAGTCTCCATTCTGAGCCAGAATCTAACAAACAGCTGTGATGGACTCATGTCTCACCTGTGCAATCTACAGTTTTATCTGTGTTCAGAAACAGCAGCTGCTGTTTGGTCATTCATTAATCTGCTGGTTTTAAAAGCCGCTGAGAACCAGACTGCCCTAATATCCATGCAGCGGAACTCAGAAGAGCTTCAGCTGACAAACAATTAAAATCACATCAGCAGCACAAATCTGACCATGAAGGTGAGCTCCAACCCTTAAATGCAGATCTACACAGATTTTCCCCAATCTTCTGATCTATCTGAATTTTAGGAGCAGGTATTGATTAAAGATGGTTCAAGTGAGATGTAAGTGGTTGTCTTCTGCAGCTGCTGTCAGCTCTTCTCTTCCTTTTGGTTCCTCTTTGGGCCAGCTGTCAGCTTTTGGACTGCGATGACATTTATCGTCAGGATCCCAGCCGACACAGTGGAGTTTACACCATCTATCCCCATTGGAACCACATCTGGTTTCCAGGTCATCTCACACCTGTCAGGATTTTAGCCTAAACTGATAAAACCTTTGACAAAAATGCTTTCTAGTTATCAATCAATTAAAAAAACAACCTGTAGAGAAAAACAGACCACTAACCTCTCAGCCAGACTGAGATTTTAATTTGTCTTTTTTTAATTTTGTCTCAGGTTTACTGTGACTTGGATACACATGGAGGAAGATGGACTGTAAGTACCTGAAATCAAACCCTGATGTCATAAAAAATAAAGCAAACACCTCATGCTTCAATTTATGGAGGGCTAAAGAGGCCAGAACAGAATAAATCAATCAATAAAGCATTAAATTAATTCTTTCAAATGTATAAATGTGCAATTTGTTCATTAAACCATTAAGTGTGTTGTTAAATTATAAAATGTAAAATTAAATACGTAATGTGCCATTAAATAATAAAATACTTTCTATATAGTGACACTAAAAAATAAGATATTTTTCCCTTTCCTTATTTTGTTCTATTTATATCTGCACAGAAAACTAATCATGAAATTATTTAAACTTCATGCATCAAACTAAGTGTTTGCTTCCACAGAGACCATGAAGTCTAATTGGTTGCTTCTTACAGAAAAACAAGAGAGCTTTTTTTTAGGCCCATTTCTATCACCACAATGTCTCTATTCCACCGATCAAGGACTCACTTGTAGGAGGTTAGTAATTCTGAGCTGCTTTTATGGCCAAAACTGCCAAAACAATATCTAAATTCCAATGAGTACAATTCCAGTGTCAATATAAATAAAAGCCTCCAAGAATGGCCATAACAGAAAACACAACTTAAAACTTTCCTTTTTGATAAAGCTTATAGTTAGAGTGGCTCAGGTTATCCTGAGCTATCTCTATAGTTATGCTGCTATAGGCTTAGACTGCTGGAGGACATAGGGACCCCTTTTTTCATCATTCTGCTTCAATCTATCTCTAGAATCTCTGACGTTCTGCATATCAGCTGTGCTGCTGCCATTAACACCTTTGATTTTAGATGATAGAGTTAGAGTTAGGCAGAAGGAGTCAAGGATACAATGGAAGTCGGTATCTACTGTCTCTACCTGTTAATTCAGAAGGAGAGAATCCTGCAAAGTCAATGACTGGATGCAATCAGCTAGTTTTCCTTAGATAAAAAAACAAAGGTAACAAATCTGATGTGTTGTTAATGTGTCTGATCATCATTTTACCAAGTTTAGAAAAGTTGTCTCAAAGTCTTTGTTCAGCCGTCCTAAAGTGTAACTTGATTGCCAAGGTGGCGTGATATGGTGATGTCAGGAAATGGACGGCATCGTAGTGAAGGCAAATGTCTTTCTTCATAAAAAATGCAATAATTGCTCAAATACACATCTTCAGTTGACTTACACACGCAGGACACAGAACATTTAGGTCCAATATGAATATAAAGGTCAAACCATCTTCTTACAGCAAGATTACATATCTGACCATAAGTACTTCAGTTTCTATTCAAAAACAAAAATATGTTTTCTAAAAATGAATCAATTGAAAATGTTTTGTTTTAAACTTTATTTATCAAAGAAATATAAATTTGTTTTAATGAGTAGAATCTGCTTCAAAAAAATACGAGACAAATAATACAGAAGAATACAGAGGTGGGCCCGCCTCCTCGATCAGGTCTGTTTAGGTCGTTTGGCTGCAGGAGCGTCACCTGCCAAAAAAAAAAAAAAAACAGGGAACACAATAAATACAGCTCAGCAACAGCGCCACACATTGGCAGACATGTTTAGCTCTGGGCTCTTCTATAGCCTTAGACTGCTGGAGGACATAGGGACCCCTTTTTTTCCTCCATTCTATATCTATTCTCCTACTCTGCAGAATCTCTTAGTTCAATCTCTAACATTCTGCTTGCTCTGCTTTTTCTCATCTGTTCACCAGTTTTTGTTTTTTCCTGTAAGAGACTTCTGGCAGGTGGCTGAGATGAAAGGATGCGATGATCTGGCTTATTTTAGATTAAAAACTAAAGATAATCAAAGGATTTAGGAAAGGATTCTCTTTTCTTGATTCACTGGTTTAGGATTAAATGTTGGGATTCTGTTCAGGTCATTCAGAGCCTAACCAGTTCAATACATTAATTTAGCAAAACTGCAGAAAAATTGATTTTCTATGTAATAAACAAAACAAAAACATTGTTTTTACTAAATATTTCACGTTATTCAAACTTTTTTAATCCACAAAAAACGCGAAGAGAACCAATATTATTTATCCACTGAGTGATAGTGAGTGGGGGGGTGGGGGGTTTGCGCCTTCAGACTGTTTTCTATTGTGCTTCTACATTGAAAATAGATTCATTGAAAACTGTTTTCCCCTTTAAGTGGAGCCTGGGTCACATGACTCATTCGGCAAAGGATCCAATCTTCTTCAGTTAAAGGCCACTTTTAGGGAAGACCAAATTTCCAAGAGAATCAGTAAATTTCGGTTTCTGAAATCTGGGAAGGAAAATAAAAAAACTTTATCTTTAAATATATCTATTTTTTTTTTTTTATCTATATCTGCAAACAGAAATCAATTAGACATTTTCTTCAATGTAAAAAAAGCCAAACGGTATTTTTTTCCTGCACTGGATGGATTCCAGTTTCAAGGTGCAGAACTCCTGCTGTCGTGAAAACGTTCAGCCCAGAACGTGTAAAAAAATAAATCAGCTGCAAGAATAACAGAACCTTTAGAACTACATCTACTTTTTACCCCCTAAAAGACAGGTAGGGAACCAGTGGCTATAGAGTGGTATGTGGCTCTCTAGCGCCCCCAGGGAGCTTTTTTTTTTTAATGCATGAAATTGGAAAAAGATGGATTTTTGTTTGTTTGGTATGCAGAAGGTCAAAGAAACATTCATTATGTTTCCAATGCTTTAAAAATGAGTATAATAAATAAATGTAAGCAATAAATGTAAACATTTTCGCCATGGAAGATTAGCTTGATAGCGCTGTATCGCGTTGCAGCGGCGCGGTGCCAGGCAGGTGGCTGCTGTAAACAAAGTGGTGGGTGTTTTTCAGGCCATGGAACCCAAAGGGAAAAAAAGGAAAATGGCTGATGAGAAAAGAGGATTCAGAGAAGAATGGAGCGAATTATTAAAAGGCATTTCCAGGGAAGGCTAAATCTGCAGCCCACCATCAAGCTGGGAGGGAGAGAAAAAGTTTGATTGCAGAACTTCTGGATAAATTAGAGGAGAGCAAAGAGATTTAAGAAGTAGATTGCATCTCCAAACTCCACTACTGCTGCTGGTTTGGTTGCAAACATAGAAAACTGTTCATAGATCCAACAGGTAGCGCTCTGATGCAGGGATGGGAACTATTTTAATTTTTTCCCCAAATCCTCAGAATAAAAATAACAGCAAAAATCTGATTTCTTTATTAAGTTTCTATAATTTCATCAATGCAACCAAAT